TGAACAAAGAGAGTTGTGACAAAGCAAAGCATAAGTTTGTTGAGCCTTTGACGTCATGACGTTTCCTGCTGTACGGCTGGAACATGTTTTCAGCAATGGCAGACAATTTTTAGACGACTTTGAAGCGGTAAAAATTGATCATCGAAGGTTTATTTTGAGTTTTTAATGGCAAAAAGGGCTTTAACTTGACCCAATTCAACATTCTGTAAAAGAATTAGCCCAAAATAAAATGGTCAATTTTCGTCTCAGGGGCACTTTAATAAGATGTTTATTATAATTATGGCTGTGTCATATATGCCAATTTTTTATATTCTTTGTACCTTTTTTTCTAGACCGGTCTAGATGCTGGTCTAGATGGGAAAATCTAGACCACTTTCAATATTGATTTCAGCCAATCAAATTCGTGAATTCGGTTGTTCCCAGTCCTTGTGAGACACAGCCATATAATAACATTATTTAAAAACTCACGGAGGAAAACCAATATCCTTCTTCGCTGCAAACGGGTAATCGCGCAGATTAGGTTGCTAACGCTACTAAAAACCTGAACTTAAATTGATTTTCAGTCAGTTATGCAGAAAATTCATATATCTTTCGGTGCTTGAAGCCCTGTATCGTAAAATATTACATCACTTAACTATTCGAGTTAGGATATTAAAGTGCAAGTCATGGATCCATCGAGAAATGTTAATCGTCCTAGAACAGTCGTGTTGATTAGTATTCCCCGATTAGCTTCCCTCTTAAATTACTGAGTAAATTAAGAATCTTACCCAGCATCGAGGTAGCGCCTCTTATGGAGGGAGACATAAACCGGCGGGCAACACAACGAAGCATCTTGCGGAATAATGTCGCTACTCAAGTAAAATCCAAAATGGCGATAGGATATCGATTACCCAGTAGTCTTTGCGAAACGTGCGTTACCGCTGTGGGAGGAACAGTGTATTTTGCAGGCGCAGAGGGGTACGATGAGGTGACCGGTGAGTCGACCGGTGTCAAATTCCCGGTTGGATCCGGTGTAGTTATCCGGAACTGATTGCTTATTATTGTGACTTTTATGAGGGAGTTTAATTTCCGTCGTTGGACACGATGTAAAAGAACTCAAAAGAAAAGGTTAGCCAGATAAATGAGCATCATCGATGAAGGTAACGGGTTCGAAGGCGATATCAAGAGGGATGGATTCGAAGTGAGTACTTTCAATTGATAAACTATGCATGACATTTTGACAATGACCTGGATTAATGAATTTGTTTCACAACTTATTGTTATCATTTTGATTTTTACTGAGCTAGATTTATACGATTTCACCTCGTATCATGATGAATACTTCATGAGTTCTCACCGCAGGTGGAGGAGAAGGGAGGGTTCGAAATTAAAGGCACGTTTGAAAAGGCATACTGACGACCACAATGCAGTAACAGAAAAACAACATACTACAGTAACTGTAACTGTAATTTAGAATGGAAATCTCATGCCAGGAGGAGGTGGTGAAGAAGATTGCTCTCAAGTTCATCAGAAGATAATTTCAGCCGGTTCCTCTTTCACAGAAACGAAATTTTGCCAGAGGTTTTCACTTTCTCATCGAAATGTTTACAACTAAAGGTGTCATATAAAGAGGAACTTGTAAGACATGATCAAACCTTTCATTGGGATCCAGGTATCCAGAGTCTTAAAGTGCCAAGTGTATCCTCAGGGCCATGAGCTAACTAGGATCAGTTTTGCAGGATTTGATAAACAACCCTGAAAAAACCTCTTTCCTTGACCAGCTGCGACTTTAAGATTCCTTTAGGCATGTAATAATGGTGGCCCAAAAAAGTTTTTTCAGCTCTGAACATGCATCATACAATGTAACTTTAACACTATTTTATTTTTTTCCTCTGAAATTACATAAAAGATGTCCAATTAGTAATACTCATTTCAAGGACATGTATGCAGTTACCATAACAACACTATATCTTTTTAGAACACCCTTAACTTAGGCTTTAGGATCCTTTGAGTTAAAATTAGTTAACTTATCCCCTTTCTTAAACTACTGAGTTCCAGTGTATCAAGATTAAAATTCATACAAAGGTTTAAAAGCATCTCTCCATTTAGTTCAGAGCTATCTTTAGTTGGTTTTTGATTGTTTTCACTTGGTAGAACTGTTACAGTTTTTCTACCAAAAGGAGATTGAAACCTTTGATGTGTAACTTGAAAG